GCAGCCTCAGACCTTCTGTTTGCTCCTGTCCAGACACATTCTCCCGGCGTCCTCGCCTCCGACGGCCCAGTCGTCAACGCCACATCGGCCTCGGTTTCACACGAAGAGGCTGTCGACGGGGCGTCGAACTCCGCGATGGCCGGCCAAGCCTCCGCGACATCTTCGTCCGGCTGCATGCTCACCTCCTCCCGCCTACTTCATCTACAGACAATCCCGGGGATGCTGATGACCGGGGCAGATCAACGCAGCCTGCCACAGTTGAGGATCAAAGTGCGCTACCAGTCGATCGACGTTCTACCCCTTTACGCCTATTGGTCCTTGCATGCGGTGAGTCGCCACAATTGGATGTGTACGTGTGCTTATGTATGTGTGTGCAAGTGGATGTGTATGATGGGATTTGTGTACGGATTTGTGTGCCGATGAGTTTAGAAGACGACCACCAACGTCTGTCTGTTGCTGTGCTGTTGTTTGATTTTACTGCAGTCTTCTTTGGTCTTGATGGAAAGACAACATCTCGTGGACTGCGTTCGCTCTGGACCTCAATCTGGGCACTTTCGCAAAGCTGCAGACTTCTGGTCGGGTGGACTTTTGAATCTATTCATCAAGCGTCTTCATGTGAGGTTCACATCACCTCAACTTTGTGACATTATTTTTCGTTCACAAGGTGGGTTTCGAGACTGCCAGTAGATCGGCTATATGAATTGTGTTCACGCCATTTCGTTTAAGATGATGAAGGAATGGTAGTTGAATTTTCCCACTCAATTCAACATAGCTTTGCTTCGCAAAAGGTATTCTCATCCAGGCAAAAGTAGACTAACGTTTCGGCTTCACCCCTGGCGGGAGTCGAGCCATGCCATTGCAGTGTGTAATCTCGCCACATTGCCACAGGGGTAGATGTGATTGGCAAGGAGGGTCAGGCATTTCACCATATCACATTTTGTAGTGGGGTTATCGATGAAACAAAGTTTTAGTTAAATTGAAGATGTAAAGACCAAGATGTTGTGGCCTCCGGTATGGTCGCAGTCTCCTTTCGACTTATAGAAGTGTGTAACCGTTTCCAGCAGAACGGTTTGTCGAGGGATTGACTTCCCTTGTCTCTTTGACGAGTTCGTATCTTGGCGCGGT